TAAAACATGTAGATATTTTTACATACTTATAAAATGTAAAAAGTACATACTTATAAAATGTAAAAAGTATAAATATACTTTTTACATACTTTTTAAATATACTTTTTATATATAAAAGGATTTATTCTCTTCTTTTAAATAAATCACTTGTTTTTGTACATTAATATACCATATGTATACAATATTTGACTGTCTCAGTCAAAGTGACAGTGGCGCAATAGGTAAGGTGAACGACTCAAGAAATAGAGGTCACAGGTTCGAATCTTATCATGGTAAGCAAATTTTTCGCGCTACAATTTAAATTAAATTAAGTAGCGTATTGAAACAATAAAGTGGGAAATTTAAGAAAAATTCAGAAAAAGAAAAAATAAATAAATGTTATATATTTTAATAAGAAAATTTATAATATTTATGATAAATATTTATTATCTATTAAAGAAATATTTATGAAATATTTTGATAAATAATTATAAAATAATTAAATAAATCCTATAAATATTTAGTAAATGTTTTATAAAATTTTGTGCTGTCTAAGGAACTACATGGAATCTCACATGGGATTCCTATGAAAACCATATGGGAATCCATATGGTTTTCCATTGGTTTTTCACCAAATCACCAGAGGAAACCATACGGATTCGCATATGGATTCCGTATGGATTTCCAATATGGATTCCTACCTGGTTTTTTTCAATAGGGTAATCATTCGCGCTTAGCGTAAATCTTTTGATATCATTACTTTTACAGAGAGTATAAAACTGTCTTGTATTTTTCAATAGAATATTCGCAAGAGTACAATTGATCTGAATAAGATTGTTTTAATATTTCTTAAAAAAAATATTTTTTAGCTGAGCTTTCGTTGTAATTTATTTATAACGAATTTTTATTTTGTAAAGACAAATAATGCTAAGACGCATGCATTTGGCTTCTTTTTTTTTACTTTTTGTTTAGAAATGCATACAATACCCTTATAGAAATGTCATACTAAGAATCATTGATAATTACTTATTATCCAGTATTTTTAATACTGAAAATAAGTAATTATCAATGATTCTTAGTATGATATTTCTATAAGGGTAATTTAAAGAAAAAAATTCTTATTCAAAAATGTCGCGGCTATAATATTTTTCAAATTATAAACGATTAAAGTTGACCAATTATATTAATACGCGCGCTCAGGTACGATACAACACACAATGGTACAGGTATATGGATATAAGTGAGAATTTGTATAAGATATAAAATTAGTTGTAAATCCCTGAAAGAAACGTCAAATGTGTGACAGCTTCCCTTATAGAAATATCATACTAAGAATCATTGATTAATTACTTATTTTCAGTATTAAAAGTATAGTATTTAGTAATATTCTGTGATTCAAATACA